CGTGTAAAACACTCAGAAAGTTGCGGCATCTGCTCTGTTCAGTTTCGACAGTGCAAATTTTTGAAAACTGCCAATCAATGAGGTAAAATCTTACCTATGCAGGTTAGGGTTTGAAAATGCCTCCAAAACTTCCCCCAACTCTGATTTTAATGAAACTTAAGAGAAACATTGAGAATAGTGTCTTCTGAAAAGATCCAGAAAATTTCGGGAAATTTTCCGTTTATTTTCGGTGTGCTATTATTTGAAAATTGCCCTTTAATGAGCTGAAATATTAACTCCCTTGAGATCCCATTTGAGTGAAATTTTAGACAAGCATGGAGAAAGGTACGCTGTTCAAGGTCCAGCAATTTCCACTGTGAGCTCTGTTTGGTTTAGACAATGCGACTTTTTGAAAATTGCCCATTAATAAAGTGATACCTTGCAGGTTGATAATTAAAAATTTCCTCCAGAACTCTCTTGAACTACGATTTGAGTAACACTTTGGCAAAAACATAAAGGAAACTCTTATCATCCGCTCCGATTAGTTGCGACAATGCAATGTTTTGGTAAATTTGGAAAGAATTGAAGTTAAAACCGCTGTAATTTGCATTGATTGAAATCGATCGGTTAACATTGAATGGGATCCTTGAAAGCTGCCAAAGCCATCCATCTCTCGGGCATTGCGGCACCCCAGCGGCAAATCCAGCAAAACGGCCGCATAATATGGAGACGAGCGGGCTCTGGAGACCGCGGATATTCCATCAAACTAAACAGTTACACCCTATTACCGGTACGGTAAATGAAAACAATACAGTCACATGGCATAATTGAAATCTGCATGATAGCGTTTCTATGTCAACATGAGCACACTGGGAGCCATCAGTCACTTAGAAGGGACAACAGATAGGCGGTGCATGAAGGCATTCATTTTCAGGGAAACAATTGCGTCCCTAGGGAACCGTGACGCTGTTTTGGGAAACTGAACCATCCTGGACCGTAATGAAAATATGACGAGCTGAAGTGTGGAATTTTCTTGCCACAAGTGGATCATCTTTGCTACTTACTTACACCTAAAGAAAGACGCTCAGCGAGCACACAAAGCAAATAGTTCGCCCATTCGAGAGGGCGCAAAAAGCCCTTCGTCGATCGCAGCCCAAAAACGTTTAATGGCCCCACTTCTTTATTGTGTCAAAGGCGCTTTTCACTTTCGGGAAATACACAAGCACGCTGACATTTGCTCCAATAAATTACCCCATTCATAAGCACCCGCCCATTATAAACAAATAGGTGTGACTAATTCCCGTGCTTACGACACGGAAAGTGCGAAATCCCTGTGAAAAGCCCCCATTTCGAGGCCGTGTTGAATGAACGAACGATCTACGTGATTTTTTCCCGTTAGAGCACGAGGGAAATGCTATATGGGAAATAAATTACACTGATGGACGCAAGAAGCTTAGCATAAATTTAATTTGTTCTGTGCCGCTACCAGCACTTTTCTTCCGGACGTGATCCGTTATGCATAAACGCATCAGATCTTTAACATGTGTTAGGGATGGCTTGAGGATTGAGGAAAGTAGATCAACATTTTTGGAGGCGCCCAAACTGTACAAGAAACTGTGTTTAAAGTCAATTGTGGTGCGAGGCAAACTTGACTGAAGGGTTCAACTTGAGAAAGTTGTGTCATTGGTTGGCCAAGCTTTCTTGCTAAATATTCTTAGTTTTCTGGAAAGTCTGCTACAAATTAAAAAAAACCCATCGCTTCCTATCGTTCGCTATAAGCAGAAAAACGTAATTTAAATTCACCGAGTTGGGTATCGTTAGAAGCGATTATTTACTTGCTGGCTAGTTTGATCACGCGGGGCACTCTATAAGCGCATTTCAATGGAAACAGAGTGCAAAACACTTGTAGTTTACCAGGCAAAAACGCTGGACACATTTTTTAAATCCCAATTTCAAATATCCAGTTTTTCCATTTCAATTAGGAACGTGCTCAACCAATTGCGGGCCCACTTAATATTCTGGAGGGCATTCGAAAATCTCCAGCTTATATCCGCTGCTTGTTTGCGGCTGGATTTGGGAAAATGTTTCAATTTACTCATTTCGTTCTGTTTCTGGCCTAAATCAGCCGTCCGTTTTGCATAAAACTTGCGCAAATGTTGGGCAGAGAAGCAGATGGATTAAAGCAGTGAATACAAGTACGAAAGTACAGTTAAATAAGTGGGTGATACATTTTCAGGACAAAGTGGGTTAAAAGAGAACAGCGGATATCAGAAGAAATGTTAGGTGCAGTGGAAGAGAGGAAGCTAAATGAACCAGCAAAACTATGCGAAAGCGAGGTTTATTATAAAATGCAAAGGGCTGTAGAAATCAACAAGAAAGTGAAACAATGCATCGATTATTTAACACAGAGTTATTTGAGACAATAGGCCGACAGAAATACACATTACAAACCAAGAAAATATCGATTTTCCAGAACTAGTAGAGAAAGGATTGCAGCCTACAATGAAGAACTTCGCTTCCTTCTGCACTTTTCCCGAAAATGCTCAAAATGTGGGGACAACGAAAACATTCTTAAGTACGTTACATAGTCGCATACCTAAAGAATGAAGCTAGAAGAAGAAGCACTGAAAGAACAAGAAGTGGGCCCACTGTGAGGAATTACTCAAGACCCATTTAGC